ATGCTTCTGTAATTTTTTATTTGTACTTATATTTCTAAGCAATAAATCTACCAGGAAATTATAAAATATATTTTAATTTTTTAGTAAAGCAATATTAACCAAATGCTCCCAAATGATCGATACTCAGATATAATTGATAATTTTTAATTCTACAGTCGAATTGAAATGTCATTATTTAGGGATAAAACACGCATTGGGAAATCTTCACAGATTGACGTATTATATGTGTGTGTCAAAATTGTGTGTGTTAGTGAGTGTGTAGTTTATTTTAAACTAGAAGACCTGGCGAACTTTGTATCGCCCTGTAATCAAGAAATATCTATTACGTTTTTTTATTTATATTTTTGGAGTTTACCTGTAAGCCATAAATCTCCGTGTTTTGAAGTGCGACAGAATGATTGACATATTAGTTAGTTGTCAAATCTAATGTCAAAAAAACGTTTGTATGGGAAATAGAAAAGGGCTGTTTTTATGGTTTTCCCAGTAATGAATAATTTTTTTTTCACCTTTTATACCTTCCCTGAACATCCACGAACATTTTAAGACTAAGATAAGATAAATCCCTTCAGCTGTTCTCGAGTTTTAGCGAGACTAAGGAACAGCAATCCATTTTCATATATATAGAAGATATAAAATGTAACATAAATATATAAAAAAGGCTTTGTGATTTTCTCTATATAACTTTAAATATGTTGAATTCCACTTTCATCATCATATTTTCGAAACGATGATTACATAAAAAAATCTTGTTATACATATTCTTTATCGCTAAATAACAACTCTAGCTAAACTTTTATAGTTAACCATATGCATGGGTCACGGTTACGGGCTACCCGAAAAGGAAAAGTAGTTCTAAGTAAAGTGCATATTGTTATAAAATAAAATAAATACACACACAAATACACACACGCAAAACACAATCTAATAATGCAGGCGTCATAATAAAGAATGTATAAAATCAGTTATTGCATAAAATTTATACTGTTCTACAAAATATTAGTAGAGTTAGCTATTAAACTCGTCTATTGAAGAAGATCGAGCGAGGATATGGAAAAGTGAGAGTGAATGATAATAAAAAAGGTTATAAGAAGATCACTCATTATATTTTTCATACTCCAAATGGCATAGGGGTCATTTTATTTTAAACAACAATAAAAGGAAATATAAATGCTGAAAACCATCACGCTCCTGTTTATAATGTAAGTCTTGTTAGCATATATAAAAAAAATATATCAATACAAAAATATAAGCTCATATCAACGAAAATAACGTAGGAAGATAATAACACGTGATCTTCGAATAATAATTAATTTAAACCAATAAATAAAGTCTTGTTAAAATAACGACGATATACAAATAATACATGTAAAAATATGCGGATTTGCCGATAAATGTAACAGCTCTTCCGTAGCAGGTAAAAAATAGTTAGCGCTAAAGAAAGTGTTTCCGTTGTGCAAGTCCGACACTGACTGGTATAAAATTCCGGACATTTACTACTTAATAAATATTTATACTGCGAAATAGGGAGTCGTAACATTTTACGAGCAAGCCGGGGTGCCGTTAGGGTTGTCGCTGGGGAAATAAAGTGAAATATTTAAAATTTGCGAAGGAGAACTTTCTATGAAAAATCCTTACCTTTTTTTGTTATAAAAGAAAATCAATCCTTTGTGCAACAATTGTGAACTATTTTCTGAAGACTATATTTATAGTTTAGATTTGTGATAAAATAATATGTATATGAAAGGCTTTAAATGATAATACGTTTTGTGTTTATATATGTACGTTCATTATACTACATACATTAATGTCTAAGACAGTATTAAATTATGTAAATGCTTCTATACTCTCAGTAACAATTTTATTACATTATAGTGTATCAAGAAATCTGTTTGTAAATGTGTGAATGAATGGTAAACTTTGTGGTTTTATCAAAAAAAAAATTAAAATCAAGCCATCCCTATAAAAATAAGCAAATGATGATACACAAAACATGTTCGTGTGAAAGGGTGGATGATATTCCAAGGTCACGGGTTAACAGGATACAACCTCCAAATAAACACGTACATACTTCTAAGGTCATCCATTTACAGTGAAGGTCACTTCCATAATTACTATCGAGGGAGTGATATTGAAACTTTGATAATGCTAACACGTTATATGTATATCTAGATTTTATATTAAAAATAAAATATACAGTATACAGTATCTATAGTAATTTTATGCATATACGTGCATAGATACATGCATATATTAATATTACTGCTCGAAATAAATGAATATTTACAAGGATAAAAAAAACGAATTACATAATTTTTATTATTGTTTTTTCAACTTGCTGATCTGATTATTTTAAAAGCGCATTGAATTACCTAAAAAATTTTACAATTTTTTAGTCCATGTGTCGTTATGAAATACATAATATGTATATAAGTTAGAGAATTTATATATTTCGTATAAAGCTTATATAACACTAGCGGTTCGACACTAAAGTTTGTCTTTGAGCTCTCAGAAAGAAAACTCCTTTTTAGCTGCATATCATTATAGAACGAAATATTTTGAATCAAGTTTTCTATACGTCTTTTGTTTTCTTTACATAGTTGTCTTATAAACTGTTTAAAATCTACTTTCTTCGTATAGCGATTACACAAAACCGGATGGAGTAATGATGATTGTCAGTTCCCTGACTCTTTTGAAACTCATTCACTTAATCGTTTCGGCAGTTTAAACTTTAAAGGATAATTGATAACAATAACAATGTATGTTACGTAGAAAAATTACTTGACATTATTTAAGTTTTATTACTTATAAAATTAATAGCAAGATCAAACAATTTACTACACAAATAAAGACTTTATATAACTAAGATATTTATAAGATACTAGAAGACCTGGCGAACTTCGTATCGCCCTATAATCAAGTAATATCTATGACGTTTCTTTATTTATATTTTTGGAGTTTACCTGTAAGCCATAAATCTCCGTGTTTGTGTGTTTTGAACTGCGACAGAATGATTGACATATCAGTTAGTTGTCAAATCTAATGTCAAAAAGAACGTTTGTATGGGAAATAGAAAAGGACTATTTTTATGGTTTTCCCAGTAATGAATCAATTTTTTTCAGCTTTTATACCTTCCCTGAACCTCCACGAACATTTCAAGACTAAGATAAGATAAATCTGGTCAGCTGTTCTCGAGTTTTAGCGAGACTAAGGAACAGCAATCCATTTTTATACATATATACAGAAGAATAACGAAATACTTTTTCCTAAATCTGTCTTCGTTCACCCTATTTAAGTATTTACACGTCAAAGGGAAACTGTTATCAACTGTCATATAACTACGTATTAGCATCGACGAACAAACAAACATCCTCAAGTCTTTCATTCATATATAAATCTATTCTGTATAAATACCGCTTCGGTAAATGTTTGTGTTAATTTTGATTATTCAAACTAGTGGCAAGGGTACACTTTAAAACTATTATCATTATATTTGTGTTAAAGACCATTATTCCGTAAACCACACCAGACAGTAACCGTTGAATTTAATACCATAACATTAAACTATGCTTAATTAAACCGTGAAGTTCAATATTGGCCCATCAATAAAGCTGTTAGCGAATAATCAAAGTGCTCGACCAGGAGCTATTCCAATTTAATTACGGACCGTTCAATGGAATTTATACTTTATGTACTTGTAATTAAGTGTATAATTAAATGACAGACCGCTGATGTATCTCTGCGTCGGTAGTTTGGTAATCTTAAATAACTATAGGGCAATCGTTTGACCTGCCTCTCAATGAATATTGATTCTTTAGTTGACAGCCCTTATAATATGAAAGAGTTGAAGTAGCCTTACAATGCCGGAAGGGAACGTGGACGAAATCTAGTTACAGTTGACTTGTAAGGGCTTTGTCTTTGTAATCCAATAGCTGTAATTCTCTTGTTTTAAGGCTTCCTTGTCGAACACTTTTGATGTCAGTCTGCGTTTTTTATTTATAAAGACATTAAAGTATACAAGCTTCACAAATGTATCTATGGTTTTCGGATATACTACTTTACAGCAACCGTGATCACAGGTAAACAAGATGCAAGTGTTATTCTAGTTTATCGACATAGATAAAATACTTAGGTATTATACCGGAATTAATAGACGAGATATTAATAACATCTCTATTTCAATATAGAAGAAATACATACCTACTTGTAATTCTCTTGCAACTTTCTTTTGAATAGTTCCTTTAAACAAAATTATGAAAAATATAAATACACGTAGTATATTCGAAACCATCGTTTCAATTATGTAACTCTGTACCCTTAGATAACTTAGATAGAATTATTAATGGAGCTTATATACCATTCAATCACTTTGATATCTGATATACTTTTTGATCTCTTGTAATGTTTTACTCACGCGATGAGTACACAGACCTTCCTGGAATATAGGATTAATTAATATATAGATAAAGTTCTCATTCTACTAGAAGATATGAAGCATGCAACGGTGATTGCTATACTAATTATATATTAATTGTTGAATGCGGTATGACAGCATACCTCCCTGTGGAAGTACTCTACTACTCCCTCTAGATTAAGTATATTGAATATATGATACATCTCGTGTGTTAATTACGTATACACTATGAAATTAGTGTGATAACTTTAATACACTATGAAGTTACTAAGGTAATTTAAACTTCAGTGAAGTTCGTGGGTAAAATATAATTTATTGTATAACTTGAAACTTTTAAGAAATATTTAAGATATTTTTAAAATTGCTTCAAACACGTAAAATATATTATCAGCTTAAAATACATTAATTTTTTAAAAAAGAATTAGAATCATTATTTATTATAAAAAATATTTAAGTTATTTAGATGGCGTAACATAAAGCTCGAGATATTATGTTGAATAATGAATAGTAACAGATAGATAGATATATAACTATCTGAATTTACCTAAGAATTTTCTACTTGCATTAAGATGTGTTCATTTGTTTCCAGCCTCCGTCGATCGTCCAGGCTCCAGCTGTTCTCTCCCCGCCGGTGTTTCCTTCACCCCCCGCACCCCCCGGAGTCCTCGCCCCCTCAGCTCCCATCTCATCCACTTCTCTCACAACAAACTGCTCCGCACCAAGGACCATCGTCATCCAGCGACCAGACGCCAGGCACGGCTTCGGCTTTACACTCAGACATCTCGTTGTTTACCCACCGGAGTCGTTAAACGTGAGTTTGAATCGATGACAAAATGAATAGCCATGAGGCAAACAAGTTACCAGCTTTTAGATGAACATTCATATAATAACTGACTTTGGCAAACAATTATTATCTCACTGCCAAATACTAATAAAGTAGGAAATAATAGAAGATTCAAAGACATATTTCAACTAATTGTAAAATGAGTATTTTTAGGAGGCCTTGTAATTGAGTTGCTGTCATATTTATAGGAGCTATACGAGGATGCGCGCCACCTCGCTGTGGGCGCGGTGGGCGCTCCGATGGACACGATCTTCGTGAGGTCTGTGCGTGCGGGCGGGCCAGCGGCGGCCGCGGGGCTGCGAGCCGGCGACCGTGTGCTGGCCGTCAACGGAGAGCCGGTAGCCTGCGGCCGTTCGCGAGCGCCCTACGCCAGGGTTGTGCAACTAGCGCAGAGAGAACCCAGGGTGTTGAGGCTCACCGTCGTGCCGAGGGATCACGATCTCTTACAGAGGGTAATAGACCCATTTTATTATAGACTAGCTTTTGCCGCGACTTCGTCCGCGTGGAATAGTGATTTCCGGCAGATTTTTGGTTCTTCCCACATAGTTCCCGTTCTTGCGGGGTTTACGGAATGGTCGAGTTCCCGTAGAATTTACAGGATAAAACCTATGTTTTTTTTAATTCACAATGAAGTACTCTTAACCAACAACATATTTATTTGTTTATTTGAATAAAGATTAATATTATTATGTTGATACAACTTAAACAAATTATTTCGACCAAATTAGGTACCATAAAAACGGTTTTTTTGAGTTAATTTTAAAAGTTAGACATATACTATCGCGAACTGTTTTTTAGATCATTAAAAGAGCTATTATTCTTTAATACATATTTTTTGTGTATCTTGAACCGTTTTCACGGCGCACGCAACGGAAGGCTTCAAAGACGAAATAATTTCACCCGTTTTTTATACATTTACCACTATATCTTTGCTCCTATTGATCGTAGCGTGATGTTATATAGCACACAGCCTTCCTCGATAACTGGACTATCCAACACAAAAAGAATTATTCAATTTGAAACAGTAGTTTCGGAGATTAGCGCTTTCAAACCAACAAACAAACAAACTCTTCAGCTTTATAATACATATTAGTATAGATTAAGAGTGCAAAATAAACTAGCTTGTTGTTTATATATGTTTATTAATAAGATGCTAATTCAAAGATGTCTATATCAGTATTTCAGCGAAGCAGCATACAACCCGGAGACTAACCAGCGACATAGCGAGATGCCGGCGGTGACGGAGCACGAGTCGCGCCTGTTCGACGCCTACCGTCGACCAACGGCAGGAAGACATGACCGTCCTACCGCTGTCCGACACGACCGTCCGACCACGGTGCGGCACGACCGTCCCAACGAGCCGGAGTACGCGACGGTGGCGCCACCACCCAGGATCGACGCTCCACGACTATCAGCGACGCATTATATCATGCATGATGGGTTGGTTGACATATTTTGGCAAAAAATTCCTTTAAAGTTTATATGTAGTTTACTTGTTTAAAAAACTCTTTACGTACGAGAACGTTAAAAAACTTCAAAGAATTTAGTTCACAAAGATTAGTACAATATCATACTAGGCCTTTTTTGAATACCACAAATACTAACGTTGAATTTTATTATTTAGCAGGAGAGAATCCGATACTTCCTTGCCATCATCGGCCACAGAGAGTAAAGACAGTCTCGGCTCATTTGACTCGAACTCGACACTGACGGGCCGAGAACTGGACGATTCGATTATCCTCTCCCGAATACGAAAGAGTCTGGAACAGAAGGAGGCGTTCCTAAGACGTCCCAGCCAACCCACGGGATGGCTCACTCCAGACGCCCCACCGCCGATTAAACAAAAGGAATTCTACGCAAGGCCACAGAAATTGCAGAAGCAATCCTGGCCACCGCCGCCTTCTTCCCCACCACTGGCCGCTTCCCCTCCGCTATCTCTGCTACAACCAACAAACCAGGAGCTCAAAACAGACGAATGCGCTACCAGCGTAGATAGCGGAACGTACAGCGGATACGGCGAGTTGAACGGTACTCACAACGATAAAAACAGATTGAAGCAAGACAAAACACAGTTTGTGGCAACGTTGTCCAAAATACAGGAAACATCGCCGAATGTACACAATAGCACGAATATGGGACCGCTGAGTAACGGATCGTCAGTTGAATTCAGAGATGAGAATATAGCTTCTAATAATCAGGACAATAGGTATGTCAATCATAATTTGACCATTTAATCTCGTCATAAATTATTTGTATTCACTGATCTAGTTGCTGTGTAGAGAATTTAATTCTATCATTCACTATTACCTATAGCTTCTTAACTTAATTTAAAAACTTTATACGTGGAATTCACTAGAAGTACTCATTTCAGGTACCCGGTACCCGAGCTCCAACTCGTCACAGCTCGTACCCGTCAGTTGGAAGAAGCTCGTGTTGGTGAAAGAAGAACTGAAGTTGCTAGAAGCGAATTAGCGCGACTGACAACAACCAGACTAGAACCGAGCGTGGCGCTACGTAGGAAGGAATTCGAAGCTAGAGCGGCCAGGAGAGAGGCGCGGTCACTGGATGTACAACCCCAGCAAGGTTGGAAATTAAAAAGTCATAGTCTATATCCATATAATGCATATTCAATTTTTCTTCTTACATTTAAACCTTATTTATACATACTTATTATATGTCCAAGCAAACAAAGACCTAAAAGAGTAATTTGTAAGAATGCTATTAGAGTTAGCATATAATATAGTTCGAATTGGTGAAGCTGTTATGGCCAGTTTTATATTGAATACTAGTTTTTGCCCGCGACTTCGTCCGCGTTAATTTCGTCATTAGTAATATAGGTATAGCTGACCGGGCAAACTCTATTCCGTCTTCAATAACCCGGTATTGGTATTTATTAAATTTCTACTGTTTCAATCGAACAGAATGATTGACATATTAGTTGTCAAGTCTAATGTCAAAAAATCGTTTGTATGGGAAATGGAAAAGGGCTGTTTTTAGGTTTTTCCCGGCAATTTTTAAAATTTTTCTCACCTTTTAAACCTTTCCTGGACTACCAGGAGTATTTCAAGACTAAAATTAGCCAAATCGGTTCAGCCGTTCTCGAGTTTTAGCGAGACTAAGGAACAGCAATCCATTTTTATATATATAGAAGATTATCTGAATTCCTAGATCGTGAAAGATAACTCTGTAACAATCTTTTGGTTAGACGTCGACGAGTATTTGACTTATCGCATTTTCTGGTTGTTTCTGATAGACTTAGAGGAAGAATCGACACCCATTGGCGGCAGCTTATCGGGCAACCAGCTTATGATCACCGGCAGCAAGCACCTCCATTGTACCCCTCCCGCAGGATTCGCTCCCGGTCAGTAGAATACCGTAGATTCCTTAGTTTAGATCATCATTACAGTAGATTTCATGTTTGTACATTGTCTTTTTAGAAATAGAAAAGGTTCAAATGCGAACAAGGTCGAATAGTACCGGTAGTGAAGGATTACCCATTAGAAGACATCATGCCACAGGTAAGGATGTCAGTCATCTACGCTACGTTTATAGCACTAGAGCTTCACACTTACAATATATTAAGTTTTGTTTATTATGTCAATCATAAAACTCAGTCATGTGGTGTTCTATCGTAACACTTTTTGGTAAGTAAAATTGACAGGCTGGATTGAAATAATCACTTATGCTTTGCTGCAATTTCACTATTACGCCAAATATGCCTCGGTTCGAGATGTTTAAAACTCAAATGCCACTAAAATGGGATTACGTACTTGTGGATGGTGTTGTTATATATTTAGAAAAAAAGTAATTGTTTGTTAAAAAAAATCAACAACGTAACAACGCCATCTATTGGTAAAAAGTACGAATCAGCGGGGCATTGCGATAACGCTTAGCGTTTCGTAAACGAGAACCGTTTGCGATCGAAAATGCATACACGGCGACCGGAGAGAGTTCAGCTAATGGAATGTTCCGCTCCAAGATGGCAGTCACGCGAAGAGACGCATGGGGCTGAACAGGGAACAGATGGAGGCGATGAACCGCGTGTCGCTGCCGGGCGGCGCGGCGCGGCCCACTCGGCTCAGCCTGGCGCCGCCCTCGCCCACGCCGCCCACGTCCTCGGGCTCGGCGCACACGTCCGGCTCACCAACGCCCACCACGCCCGCTGACTCAGGTCTCCATGTCGCAGACGCCTCGCCCTCACTATGGAATGCTCTTGCTCCCTCCCCCCATCGCTCGAATCTATTCATACATTCGCACGACAAATTCTTCATAACAATAACTTGCTGTAGAAAAAACATCTAAGTTACCCAAGAACACTAACGGGAAGAATACTAAAAAAAAATATCCGAATTGTTTTGTGACTAAATTGTGATTGTCCTTTTGTTTCTGCCTTGAATCAATAATTTCGAAAACCAAAGATAAAAATCGCAAAAACTGTTGCATGATATTTGTTCCACAAAACATTAGGGAGGGAGCATTGTGGATCTAACCTATTACTTCGCTGACAGCATTATTAACGGAATGCGATGTTTGTGCTTCTCCGTGTGCCACTAATGCCACTAACCGTTTGTGTCTGATTGTTTAATATATTAACCATAAAAATAAATATTGATACACTTCTTAAATCTGATCGTATATGTTTACTACAGGTTTTGCTGACGACTTGGTTACGAGAAGACACAAAAAGGATGCGCAAATGGGAGGTCAGTGTTATACACTCATTGAAATATAATAATATGCAAAAATATATTATATTAACCATTAACCATTTTATGTATGTTTTCGTATTCAGAAGAAGAACGTGCAATGAGAAGGGTGTCCTACCTTAAAGCTACGTGGGGAGACAGACTACACTTAGACAGCGATGTGGAGCCAGAGGCTGAACAAAACGCTCTCAGGAGGTATATATTGATGACTAAATTATTATATCTTCATTTATATCTGCCATGAAGCACCTGTAGTTAAATTGCATAAAATATCTTCCATAGCTCATGATATGTATATATGTATATGCATTGATAATACCAGTCCTGGTAAAACGTTATGAGTTAATGGCAGATGTAATTGTTTCCATGGCATAGAAGTATCCAGTAGTACCCAACTAGTAGTTAACATTCAGTACAATTGATTTCATTAACATTTATTTGTTCGTAGTAGAAGTATAGAGCACCCCATCTTGTACTCGTATATACCACATTGTTTGTTGTAGATAGACATATTGTGGTGTTAACCGAACATGCGTGTTTTATATTATTGTTTATCATTTATTTCTTTGTATCTGTGTTTTAAAATAAAACGCAGTGCTTATCGCAAATGGCGGCCACCAAGATTCACAGAGGACATAACGCCGTTGCTACGGATATTCGACCCTCAAGCGTCGATTCCAACGCGGTACGTCGCATGGGCGATACAAGCTTAGTGTGGTTACAGTGATAATAGATGGCGCTACTTGTCTTAGTCAGATTCAAATCCGAGTCGCTTGTGTGGTTACAGTCATAGATGGCGCTGTCGCAAATGAAAATGTACATAGCCTTGTATTAAAATGTGTGTAATAGAACCGGCGAACAACGCTTCATTTTTTAGTTCACTACAATAACAGAGAAACCATCTGATGTACAAACAGAACATTTTTATGTTGAATATATATATCAATTCGTTTATTTTATTGTTGTTTTTATTGGCATGTCATTTAAAGGTTCTTATTATTTTATGTGCATGTAATGTGTCTTGCAGTAGTGTTGTTTGTAAATTGTAAGCATGAATGTTAGACGTTCCGCCTTAGTTTAAACTATGTAATAGTATTTACATACAGGTAATAGCGATAGTATATAATAAGATATAAGTGTTTTCAAACTTCAACAGAGAAATAGATAAAAATAATGAAATCCCTTTCAACACCTAGTGCTATAATACATATCAGTTCTCAATAGACTCTTTTCTAAAGACAAATTAAGATACATAAAGATACTTATCTCTATATAAATTGTATTAGAAAAGATCTGGATTTAATATGAAGCAATAGTTTCTTCCTTCCTAATTAAGTAATTTACATATAAATAACGTTTCAATATAACAATTCCTATTCATTCAATGAAATATTTACTAACAGTCCGGAGAAGAAGTCCCAAGAAAGTACCGAAAACTCCGAGGAAGTTGAAGCAGACGTACAAGGGAACGTTCAGATAAAGATGGTGGTGAGCAATGGAAAGGTAATATATGAAGTATACACGAATATTATACACAATAAAATACATACAGCACACATACTATATTAGTAGGAATAGGAGAGGAATTATTACTAAATAATGAGATCTACGACTTTCGCGAGTATACATTTAAATGAATCTAATGTTATTCGGATTACTACGCGTATTTTATTATTTTAAAAGTACATACTCGCAATGTTTCCCTTACTTTTCACGGGCAGAGGAGGTGACGTCGAGTAATACTAGTTCCATTATTACTATTTAGTAATTTTCTCGTCTTTGGTATCATGGGATTATATTTTTTGCATACAAATTCCTTCTTTATATTCATCTTATCCAACATATCGAATAATAAATTGAATTTATCCTTGATTTTCTTACTTATTTCAAAATGCTTCGTTTCATATACTCAGTCAACTTATCGTATAATGTAAACATGTCATTATATGTATGTATGTCTGTGCAGCGAGCCAGTGATCGCTCGTGGAAGCAAGTCTGGGCGATGCTGCAAGGAACTAAGCTGTACCTGTACAGACATCATCCTACACAGGTTAGTCTAGACTTAATATTATAAAATAACTATCTGTATACTAAATGTTTTTACTGTTTTATTTGTGATGGATGATTTTTTTCAACTAGTCTCATATATTTGTTCTATTAAGATAAAAAGTTGACTTATTCTTTTGTGCATATAAAATTTTAGCTTTAAAGATATTAAATGTAACATACCTATTTTAGTTATTCTTTTAATGAGATGAATCTACTCAAAATAGTAAACTCTATTTGTATAACACTTATCTTTTATAAAAAAACTAGTTTCATGATACAGTTTATACTTTCGTAATAACGAAAAAAAATTGCGTTTTTAACGATTTAATAGCATGAAATAGAAAAATATATTATTTACATTTTCTTTGAAAAACTAATAACAAAATCAACATCAAGTATAATAAATACGCTGTAACTAAAGCAAATACTTTAAAAAATTACTAATTGTGATGAATCTTTAATATTTTTCCCGCGATTGTTTTTAGAAACACTTATACTGGAATATAAAGTAATACTATTATTCAGAATGTATGTTCTCCTTATATAACATATGTCTCGAGATGTCCGTTTAATGTAATAACGAAGACGACCATATGGTTAATAAAATTAATAAACGGCATTCAATATATCACATGTATAACACCACACATGGCTAACCTACCTCGTTAACATCACACATCGGAATAAATTCAACGAGAAAATATATTCCTTATTAACTAAACCAAAAGAAATACACTCATAATGAAGTGTGTTACCTTCACAACACCTGGTACCCAATAACGGACTTTTCACCTCCTATTATATTTAAACCAAATGTATTGTTAACGAATTATTAAAATACAAATATTTTTTTTTATTTTTATTTAAAGGTCTATATACATAAAAAGAAACATGTCGTCCTGTTTGTATATTCTTATATATTCTTATATCATAAACAAAAAATAATGACAACAATAAACAATTCTATATAAAAACAAACATAATAAAAAAAATATTCCAAATTTTACAAACGTTACTGACAACAACCACAAAAATACAATTGTTGCAACATTGGTTTTCTTAAAAGAAATGACCTATTTGTAAACTCTTAATGAATGCAGCATATTAAATTTCTGCATATTTTACAAATCCGAATCATATTGAGTGTTGCATTAAATCTTTATTTGTTTTTGTGTTAAAACAGGTCCATTTAATAAATCGTATGACGTTAATCCGTGACGTTTAACGAACAAGTACGCGACGTTTTATTGTTTTTATCAATTTAAACATTGCGTAATAAAATCAAAAATATGTTGAAAGTCGGATTTGGTACTTTATTTAAACAGTTTATATTCATATTAAAGTTTATGAGAATCCAGTCAGTGTTAATTCTATTACATATTGTCTTTGGATAGTTTATATGTTACGTAATTGACATGGTGCGTCAATGTCACTGCCATCACCTTATAACACCATAAAATTTGTAACTACATATACATGATAAGGGCGGTCCAAGGTTTATTAGAAGAATAGATCATGAAAATGGATTAATATTACACGAACCTAATAAGAACATAAATTCATTAAATGTCCTTTAATTATTCAAAGTAATAGTCTCCATCGCTCCTACCGATCTGAACATCACACGTAAATAATATAACAAATCCCTTATAAGTTATGTAATGTTATAACTCGTCGGATCAAAGGCTCGCAATAAACTTAATTTTCTCTGAAGACCATTTGCCATTTCATTAATACAACCTACATATTTCTCATCGCAATAAATGAACATCGTTTTAATGTATCTATATAACCCATTTATGAGAGACACCTTATTATTAGTATGGCAGGGTTCATTTTCAATCAATATAAAATTCACTTTCACGGAAGACATTCCGCGGGTAGATTTAGGTGTTCCGAGAACTGAAAGCCAGCGTTTATAGACGTTTATTAGTGTAGAGATAACATGAAGTACGCTTTAACAGTTTGCCCGCTGTATAAGAATGTTTTATAGCAATTGACTCTTGACACGCTGTATACAATGTAAATCATATATTTATATAGATTAAGTACGGTCCGACGAAAACATTCATTGAATTAGTAATAAATCGACAAATTTATCAGTCCTCAATGAAGTTGTTATACCAAATACATAATAATGATGTCCATATTTATTAAATATACCTGTCCATTTGTTCGTTGAGTTGCAAATAATAAATAATAAGAATTAATCCAACCATTTTATTATGGTCTTCACTCAGTAAAACCGCTGTTGCTTAACAGGTGTCAAAGTAAAACTTTATCGTGCATATGATTTAGTATCGGCACAATTTCACCTCGCCCTGAAACCGTAACATCTAAATACTGCGCGTTTGATTTAATGAATTATAAAACTTATGCTTTTATTCAGGATTATGCATTGTTTGCGTATAAGAATGGAATCTCATTCGTGACCTGGTTTAAATTAATCGCGTGATGTAATATTTATATGCTTTTATTTTGGAAATTCATTCAATGAAAAATATTTTAATATAATGAAGTTGTAGTATTTAATATGATGTCTATGTAAATTGACGCCTACACTTTGCCTTGTTACTTCAACTGCCATTACTATTTATAAGCGATCGTAATAAAGCGAAGGCGAATTAATATTTGGATATACATATAAGGTTCTGTCACACCTGACTAGGGAACCCTAATTGAATGTTATTTTAATCTAGCGTCATCAAAATTTCTCTCGTGACCGTGAAATAGCCTGCGAGTGAAAATATCTTTGAAATGTTCTTTTGTTATCCGTCTGAGATCTTTATATTCAGCTTTGCCTTGACTGAAATTAAAATTAACTACGTGGAAGTTATTAGACCGTGTTCATTACGTACACCGCATCCGTCTGTCGTTTTGAGGGTATGGTTATAAGAAATCTATATCAGTCATAACATCCTTGGATTTTATTTGACTAATATAAATATGTATTATGAGAAAAAGACACGAAAAGAAATACTAACTTTCTTATATGTCTATTGCGTTCATTCCCATTTCATTGTCAGCATTTGCCCTAAGTCGTTGTAAATTCACCAACCTTAATGCCGTAGAAAGTCTCAAATAAGTTATGTGGCATCAGAACTCGCCAAGGACAAATGCGCCATACATTCCCCATTCATAGCCTCAGGCAACGTCGATTATAATATATGAAAATTGCTATTGGTATTTATTTTCTTATTTATTACCCTAATTTGGCGTCCATTCAAACATTTTTTGTTATAACCTTCATGTTTGATTCTCCTCTATTGATATTTTAGTTAAGAATCATAAATAATTCTGTATATCTGTTAACTCCGTGCATTTTAAAATTTCCAAAATATTCCACTAGCAGCTTACAGAGTTTGCCTTATAGATATTGTGCTCAAGTACGTGTGTAAGAGAGTAATCTGGCGTGAACTTGTGGCTAATAGCGTGTAATGCACGCCACGATCGGCTCTCGGGATCTATATGATTAGATCTCTAGGTACATTTATATATAGTAGATCCATCATATATGTTCAATAACATAATAGAAATAAAATATTCATTTTACTTTTGGAGCGAAAAAAAAGTAATTATTAATTGTGTGTCTGTAATAGAAGCTTAAAGTTGCAATTTAAAATTTATACCTCACATTACGCAATTTACTTGATATACTTTCGTCATGTTACAGAAAAGAGATGACTAATGAGTCTCACAAAACGTGATCCGCAGTCTAACTGTACACTGGATTTAGAGTAATACATTTGTTTTATCTTTTTGGTGAAGCCAAATAGTCTAATGGAAATTATTATAACATTGAAATTCATACAAAACAAACCCACTTCTCCAGACAAGGTGAGTGAAGATGGGTATCCGTGTGTAATGGTGTGGGTTGTGCCCGAATCACCTTGAACATTCGTTCAGATCTTACGTAGTTCTTGTAGTCGAGGTTAGTCCTTTATTTTAAGTCTATTTATAAACCATTAAACAGTTTTACTTAGGTTACGTGTCGTGACAATGTTCAAAAACGATTTGTTACATCTTTGAATTCTATAATGTATGGTTATCGGTGTAACCCACGTGAAAGATTTATAAATTTACTAGAGTAGGCAGCTCGACCTTACTAGGTAATGTCATTACATACAGAATAATGTATTGGGTGTTGTCATAAGTATGTTTATGTTAACGAATATACAAACAAGCATCATTTATATATTTTCTCTACTAAAGACCTAAAATTAATCTCAAGTTCCTATATTAATCTACAGATCTTAACAGATTTAATTTAAATAATAAATATACTTGAACGCAAAAAAAATGTGAAAGCTGACATATTTCTTAATCGGCTTTAGGAAAATAATAATTTGAGAGCACCTGAATCTGGTTTAAAATGTTACTTTAAAAAGCTGCAACGAGGCTTTGACTGAGGATCCGAGCGGACCGGTCCATCCTGACGTAAATTGCTCATAATTGGAGTCACTTAATTATTTGCCCCTTGATAAATTGCTTCATTTTCTTTGACCGCAAGTGGCAACAGCTTAACTTGTCGCAGTAAGTCAACGTTTCCTGCCACAATTATAAGAATAAACAATAATCACTTCCTTCGATGTTCGTAACCATCGTGTTTCGTGACGGCGACTTAATTTAAGGGCGCTATGCTTTTTGCGTCGTCATACGACGTGTGCGGTGAATGTCTGCCTTATATGGGAAGGACGCGGCGTAAAACATTTTTAATATCCACCTCATCTAGCCGAAACCACCAGCCGGCTCTCGGAAATTGACCATACATGTTTGCAATGAATGTACGTGATGAGAATTTAAAACTTATACATTATAATATTCATTATGGATGTCATCATGATTCAGTAACACTATATGCGGTATAGAAATTTCTTTCAAAATAAAAATCGAATAAATAAACTGTATGAATGATAATTAATTTGATATAATTTATTAATGTGAAAGGAAGATTTATTCGGACGATCAAAGTATTTGTCGATTTGTCGTTATTTAGAAAGC